TTTTTTTTTTTTTTTTTTTTGGGCGGGGGGGTGGAGGAGGGGAGGGGTAAGGAAGAAGATAAGAAAGGGATATGGTAGGGATTTAGGATTTTTTATTATTATTATTTGTTGTCTTTTATTTACTTTCTCCTTTACATTTTTAAATAGAGTAATTCGAACGACGCACTTTGTCTGCATGATTGGCACGCACTTTGACCACGTGAGTTGTGCTACTGCCACATAAGCATAGTCAGAAGGCGGAGGTGTTTACTTATAAGATCCGGTGCAATTTAGGTGGCCCGGAGGCCATTTTGCCAACATAGAAACAAAATTTACGCAAGCCTAAACTCCTTTCTGACTATCTTAGTTGCTCAAATTTCAAAACATTCCAAACGTTTCAAATCTCCTAAACTCACAAAATCATAAGAAAACTTTGGCCCTCTGGAGACAAAACTGATATCATACTCAATGGATCCAAAAACTGGTACAAAAGGTGGTATGTCACTGGTAGTATCCGGCATTCTGCTGCCTACAAAAGGTGGTATGTCACTCAGCTGCATAAATTTACACCGACAGAGACGCCCCATTATCAGCCGCAGTTAGATTCAGTATCATATTAGCTGCCTTGGAGCCCTGACAAGGTAGAAAGATTTAAGCATCAGCAAACTTCTAGAGTATGAAACTCATTTTGAAGCAAATGCATAACTTGAAACATAACTATAGCATTCCTAGACAAGCCCCAAATACCAACTGAATAAAGATGTCAAGGTTGCATCCAGACAGCCAAAGAAATCGTATGTAAGTAGTTCTTAATTCTTGAAGAGTAGGAGAAGAGGTGAAGTGGAAGGTATTAAGTACCATGACTCAGGTGTCTGGTAGAGGGATGTTGAATTGCCAAAGCACGACTGAAGCATGTCCGTGTAAATGACACCAGCATTAAGTGCAACAGCTGCCATTCCAGGAGGCAACTCCTTCGCAGCTGACCTTGAAGTACAATATGGTGTCACCTGTTTACCGAGAGGTTAAAAAGGTTATGCCTAAATTTGTGTCAAGTAAACAAATGGCATTCTTGAAAGGGAGGCAAATCATGGATGCATCTTTAATCGCTAATGAATGTCTCGACACTAGGCTAAGAGAGAAGATACCAGGTATAATGTGCAAACTTGATATTGAGAATGCATACGATCATGTGAACTGGAATTTCTTGCTGAAGGTCCTCAAAGATTTAGGCTTTGACCGGAAGTGGTTGAATTGGATTTGGCATTGTATCAGTACAGTAAGGTTCTCTGTACTTATAAATGGTTCACCACAGGGTTTCTTCGCTTCCCAACGAGGCCTTAGACAAAGAGATCCTATTTCTCCTTTCTTATTCTTGTTGGTAATGGAAGGACTTAGTAATATGATCAATTTTGCAGTTCTGAAAGCTGAATCAGTGGTTTCAGGGTGAAATGCAGACAGGACCAGGGCCTCTCTATTTCGCATCTTCTCTATGCTGATGACTCCCTTATTTTTTGTGAACCAGAGGTGAATCAATTGAGATATTTGAGACTGATTCTATGTGTGTTTGAAGGAGTTTCAGGACTTCATGTGAAGTGCAGAATAATTCCAGTGAACACAGTTCAAGATTTGCATAGTGTTGTTGCAGTTTTAGGGTGCCAAACAGAGTTTCTTCCTACAAGTTACCTAGGATTGCCTCTGCGGGCAAAAGCAAAATCTGAATTTATCTGGCAAGGAGTGGTGGATAGATGTGAAAAAAGATTGGCTAACTGGAAGAAACAATACCTTTCTTTTGGGGGAAGATTAATATTAATTAACAGTGTATTGGATTCAATTCCCACATATACTATGTCCTTATTTCTCATGTCATCCAAAGTGGAGAAGAAAATAGACAAGCTAAGGAGGGAATTTTTATGGCAGGGAAATAAAGAAAACAAACGGATTAATCTTGTCAAATGGAGCACTGTCACTGCAACTAAGGAACAAGGAGGTTTGGGCATTAAGACCTTAAGGATACAGAACAGAAGCCTTTAATTGAAGTGGCTTTGGAGATTTAGTGCAGAAGCCGACACTCTGTGGAGGAGAGAAATTTGGTCTTTTGAATGTATGGTACACCAACAGAGATCCCTCTTCACAAGGAATTAGTATCTGGAGGAACATAGACTCCTTGTGGCCAGTTTTCTCACAGCATATTGATTTCAAGACAGGTAATGGAAGGAAGATTTCCTTTTGGCAAGATAAATGGTTGGGTCATCTACCTCTCAGAGAACTTTTCCCTGTAATATACAGATTGGTACTCGACAAAGAATTCACTGTAGCACAATGCTGGGAAGATAATAGCTGGAATATAAAACTCAGAAGAGACATTAATGACTGGGAGCTAAATGAGGTACCTGAATTCTTCAGTATACTACCTATATCGGTAAGCCTAACCAGTAATGAAGACCGTTTGATATGGAGAGGACACAGAAATACAGAAATAGAAAGGGGGTGAGAAGACAGACTCAGAGAAGGGGAAAAGAACTTCACAATACAATCGTCTGCTTTGTTTTACTAACCTATTGCTATTTAAACATTCTCTAACCCGGGTCTAACACATAACTTGCTAAATTTCCTAATTCATCCTCCAAGATGTTATTTCCATTCATAACACCATCACACCTTGCCACACCCCCCTAATTACTATATTTGGCCCCTAAAGGAAGCCCCATATAAACCGAGGGATAAACATCAGTTTTCCAACCCATAATACTTGCCAAATCCATGACGCAGTCACTGGCATTTTAGAATTGCTATAAAATATATGAAAAAACAGAATTGAAAAGAAAACTTTTAAGCACGAAACAAGCTATAGAAAGGTTTTGAATAAACTGAACTGTAAAAGGTAACAGATAAAGCTAGTCATTACAAAATCACTACAAAGTGCTAACGGATACCAGATAGTTGGCTAACTACACACAAAGCACTAAATACTAGTCAATTGGCTAACTACACAGTCACTAAACACAATAACTACTTACAGCTACTAGTCAGATCAACTACACACTGAAGTTACGAAGCTAGTTACTTGGCAGGGTTGTTCATTAGCTCATTTGGAGCAAAAAACTGCGTGGGTGACACCTGATAAAAAGGCGGCAACCACAAGAGATTTAAATGCGAAAAAAACTATGAAGAACTGATAGTAAATAGGAACAGATGCAGAAATTGGCATTTGCGCCACCCTCTTCTCCATCATATCGAGATTCTCTCTGACCTTCTCCACTTTCTTCCTTGTATCAGCATTCATTTCCTGCTCCAGCCCGCTTAACTTAAGTATCTCAGCATTAATTTCATCCCCGAAAGCTGATAGCTTTTCAGCTAGACATTTCACCTCAATTTCTTTCACAAATTTTATTTTCCTAAAGGCCAAATAGCAGCAAACAAAAGTCCCGCTTACTTGGACCAAACCACTCACCACAGTAAAGTAAAATACGGGACATTGTAAAGTTTTGTTTGAAGTTAGGGCAAACACAGAAAAAATAATTCATCGCAAAGAAAAGAGCTACGGCTTTTAGAGAGAATTTCAAGGGATTGAGAAGTTCACGTTGTACCAGACTTTCGTCTTTGTTTAGAGATGACACTTTGGTCATCAAATTTTTTGATTCAGCTGTTACTTCTTCCACCACCTTTACAACTTCAGCCATAGTGTTGGAGAAAGGAAGAGAGGGAGGGAAAGGGGCCGGCGGGGTGCACAATCCAGAAATTGAATGAAGAAAACCGTTGTTATATATAAGGAGGTCAAAGCCACATAAACGTAAAAGTAGAAACCGGATAAAAATAACTAAGCTCAAACATAATACTTGATTCGCAGCTTAAAATATTTATTTGACTTATTTATTGCTATATTACTAATAATAATTTAATAATTGAAAGTTTAGTTTCTCATATCAAAGTTTAATAGTTGAGTAATTTAACGAATTTGAATTTTTGAATGATGTGAACATAAACAGTAAACATCGATTTCTGACCGTCCATTTTTCTTTAAATTGTTTTATTTTTATGTTGTTATTATTGTCGGAAATTTCGGGGAAAAAAAAGAATAAACCTTTAATTTTGGAGAGTAATGATTAAGGAGAACGAAGGTTGCTTCTTCTTTTATACACGACTACACCGAAAAAATTAGGGAGAAATTCAAAAATAGTCAGATTTACAACTGGTCGTTCAAAAGCAGCCCAGTTTCAAAAGTAATCGAAATTTAATCACTTTTTTGTGTAATGATAAATCTAAGCGAAAACATTGTTCAAAACCCAGAAAATACACCAGTATATTATACTGGAGTTCCAGCATATGTATGTTTGAACTACAGCATATTATACTGGAGTTCCAGAATAAGTATGCTGGAACTCCAGCATAATATACTGGAGTTCCAGCAAGTATAATTGTCCAGTATAATATACTGGAGTTTGGAGCACCGGTGCTCCAGTCTCTAGTATATTATACTGGAGTCAGCAAAGTATATCGGTCCAGCATAATATGCTGGAGTTCATACACAGGTACACCGAACTCCAGTATATTATGCTGGACCGGTCTCTGTTGCAGCAAAATAGTGACTATTTTTCATTGACTTCGTAAACGCTAGCTATTTTTGAATGACCAGTCCGAAAACTGGCTATACTATGCTATTACGCATTCAAGACTTAAACATCTCAATATAGCTTTTCTTTTTTCGGTTCTCAAGGATTGATTTTACTAATTTTTGTTTAGAATTAACTCGTATTTTTAAAAAATTTGCCTTTGTACTTAATTAGAAGATGATTAGCAATGAAAACAAGAAAAATGCTCGGAAAATAGGACCTACTTTATCAACCAAATAGACAAATTTACATAGCCTAAACTCCCTTCTGACTCTGTCTTAGTTGTTCAACGCATTNGTGGGGGGGGGGGGGGGGATGTTATCATAATCGCTGGAGTTAAAAACTGGTAATATCCGTCATTCTGCTGTCTACAAAAGGTAGTATGTCACTCGGCTGCATAAATTCAGACCGAAAGAGATGCCCCATTATCAGCTGCAGTTAGATTCAGTATCATATTAGCTGCATTTGGAGCCCTGACAAGGTAGAAAGTTTTAAACATCAGCAAACTTCTAGAGTATGAAACTCATCTTGAAGCAAATGCGTAAGTTGAAACATAACTGTAGCATTCCTAGACAAGCCCCAAATACCAATTGAATAAAGATGTCAAAGTTGCATCTAGACAGCCAAAGAAATTGTAAGTAGTTCTTAGTTCTTGACGAGTTTGAGGAGAGGAGGGTGAAGTGGAAGGTATAAAGTACCATGACTCAGGTGTCTGGTAGAGGGATGCTGAACTGCCAAAGCACGACTGAAGCATGTCTNTGTTGCAGCAAAATAGTGACTATTTTTCATTGACTTCGTAAACGCTAGCTATTTTTGAATGACCAGTCCGAAAACTGGCTATACTATGCTATTACGCATTCAAGACTTAAACATCTCAATATAGCTTTTCTTTTTTCGGTTCTCAAGGATTGATTTTACTAATTTTTGTTTAGAATTAACTCGTATTTTTAAAAAATTTGCCTTTGTACTTAATTAGAAGATGATTAGCAATGAAAACAAGAAAAATGCTCGGAAAATAGGACCTACTTTATCAACCAAATAGACAAATTTACATAGCCTAAACTCCCTTCTGACTCTGTCTTAGTTGTTCAACGCNACTGACCTTGTCAGACCCTCTATTGCCCATTTTGAAGTACAATATGGTGCCACCTGTGAAGATCCAATCAGGTCACAACAATATTGGCCAAACTCGAACCCCCAGCAATTATTTAAGCTAGTTGGAAATCTAAATAAATTGGTTTTTTCATCACCCATTTGAATAATTAATCTGGTGATGATTCGCATGCATAAAGTTCCGTCCNACACACACACACACACACAAAAAAAAAAAAAGGCAACTTAGGTTCTTCAATGCTTAAATGATCAATGTATGAGTTGCATGGTCACTACATGTCATATAGGGCAAATGTTCTCAACTGTCACCAAATTAACCTAGCAAAATGAAGCTCATCAAGCATATTGGCTCTTTGCATATTTTGAAACCCCTCAGTTATCAAGGAAAAGATCCAAGAATTTATGACGTGGAACTCTAGGGACATAAAACATGAGATCCGATGCACAGCTGGCATACAAGAACCAACATTTTTGCAAATCATCAGCAATATGATTAACAGACTAGAGTAAAACTATGAGAACTTATGGATAAAGTTCTGGTAATTTCAGTAGAAACTGAGTTTTACCTGTGCAGCGGCAGATCTTCCCCATGAAGAAGACATATTTATGATCACTCCTTGCTTCTTCTCAAGCATTAGGGGAATAAAGTGACGCAGAACATTTGCAGTTCCTTTTATGTTGGTATCAATGACAGAATCAAACTCTTCAGCTGGCACTTCCCATAGTTTGTTGTTCCTATTAATAGTTCCTGCACTGTTCACTGAGCGAGGTTCATATTTTAGGTCTTTTTGAATATGAGATAACAAAGACCACTACAAACTATAGGGTGTCAATTTAAAACCATAAAAGTGTAACCTGCCAATTCAGCAAACTTCAACAGGTTGGGTAAGTGCCATAACCATTCAAGGATTAAATTAAGTTAACCCCAAATTAACCCATTGAAAAGACTGGGTCAACTTGGGCTACTTACCAGCCCATACAAACATGGAGCTGCGCACACTGTCACCCAAAAGAAAAAGACAAACAAATGGTTTTGATGAATGATATAATTTTACTTTATTGCTCAATGAAGCATTTTTAAGCAACTCAACATTACAATATAAACTAGAAAAACATAAACAAATGGGAAAGTAGTGTTGAGTTGGGCGGTTTGGATCAAGAGCCGCTGGTCAACCCATCTTGATCTTACTCATTTCGACCGGAACAGACTTCGAACAAATAGGATCATTGACCCACTCAATGATTCAATCATTTTTTTCTACCTAAATCGACCCATTATACATAATTGACACTCCTAGTTAAGAGTAAATATCCAACTGAATTTCCTACCTTTATTTTAATGCTACAAACTTACAGCCATCTTGACCAAAAAAAATTACAGTCAATCAATCAATCAACTACATCTCTATCAGAATCTTGCAAGTGACCCCAGTTATTTATAAATTCTCAATTTATTATAAAACACGAAATTAGCTCACCAATCCCAGCAACTCGACTCGAGACCTTATAATGATAACACAAATTTCTAAAGCAAGTGTCAACAGACATATCAACCAGCAGTACATGCATATAGAGCGGGAGGCTGCGATTTAACTTTAAGTGCAGGAGTGTACAATACCATACTAAATAATGAACCGAATGCTTAATGATGGCAAAAGAATGATGACACAATATGGCATAATACATACTGATGAACAGCACAAAGCCTAGGCTACACTGTGCAGTCTTGAAACAGCTCAGGAAATATGAATAGAGAATATAAGCCACTTGTAAAATGAGAAGCACTTGTTTTACCCTCTTCTCTAAGTAGAAACCAGAACCAATATGCTCCATCTATGCCAAGAAAAATTGATTATCTTCAGAATAATTTGGCTATTCTCAAAGTAAAGATGTCATCAGTTAGTGATGTATAATCAAGTCCAGTACCTAAATTAGTATGTATGTGAGGATTAATTTCAGATCCTCAAGGACAAATATGCTTTCATCTATCACTGTGAGATGTGACAGGAAACTCAGAAATAACAGCCTTAAATAGGATTAATGAGAGAAACTTTCTCCAATTTCTAGTCGGACCATCGCAGAATGCTTTCTCCTTCAAGATATTCTTCGTTTAAATTTTAAAAAAAAAAAAATCCCAAGATTCAGGAAAAACTCATCTGAATTATTAAATAATTATTTAAGTCAATTGAATGTTGTTGTTAGAGAGGCAGGAGTAAGATTGCACTTTAATATTGGTAATGGGAGCAAAGTTATTAAGATCACTATATCCTTTATAAAAAGAACAAAATGTACAGCAGCAGCAAGGTTGTATACAACCAAGTACCAATAATATCAGGAACGCCCTTTTTCTCCATAACAGCACGTGCTAACTCTTCAACACTGCTATTTAAACTCTGAAATGCCAAGGAAGAAACACAAACTATGTCAATGGATGCATGTAGGCTGACTAGCAATTTTGTGAAGAAAACAAATTAAACTATATAAATATACAAACACAGATATATTCATTCTTGCAGTCAGCCAATATGTTTATTCATCACAGCAACATTCAACTATGACAAACACCTGAGATTTAGATGCAAGCAATATGGAAAGCAAGTACTCAGAAATATAGACAAGGTACAAAGTACTGATTGAGGAGGTGCAGAAAATCTTGTACTGAACTTCAAACATGTATTCTATCTCTCCTTAACCAACAAGGCTTTTAATATTAGTCGTAGTGTCTTACAAGCCATTCTTTTCTTTTTTGATATGTTGGGACACTTTTATCCCTCATTTTTTAGCAAAACTAGCAGATGGAAACACTAGATAAAAAATTAAAAAAGAAATTTACATCAAAAAGAGAACATATAAAAGGGTCTCTAGAGTTGAGCACCCCCATAAAAGTCCTTCCTCGATAATGGACATAAAAAATTAAAGGAATTTCCATATCTTCAGTATACATCGGGTCATTTATATTCTTGTTCTCTTAGAAACTTGTTCCTACCTGTCCCACATCATTTTTGCCCAATTCTGGAGTCAATCAATCTGTGCCTTCAATTGAGCTTCGAGACTCAGTTTCTACTTTCTATCGAACTATATTTTCCATGAACTTTTCGTCAAATCGAATAAGTAACCGCAACACTCTATTCCACCTGAGAGACATAGGCTTTTACATTTTCCATGTCTCCTACTCAACTCATTCTACCAGTCTTCACTCAATTCATCCTCATTATTTATAAACTAACCACACTCAGAACAGCCAAAACCCCACTTTGACTCAAGTATTTGGTATTTTTAGCTTTTCCTCCCCTTAGTCTCCAGCCGTTATTTTCAGCCTATTCACTTGCGCATCCTTTGGAACTTGAATTTATCCAACTATATTCCCCGTGATGTCTTGTTCAGATGAAGAAGTTAAAATAATGCTTTGAAGCTATTATTGTATATCCAGTTCAGAGGAAAAAAAAAACTTCTTGAGTCTTCTCAATGACTCGATCTTCTTCTATTCATGCCTCCTTGTTGCTTAAACTAAAACTACATGCAGGATAGTATACACCCTAATCCAGATGAATAGACAAATTCTAATTTCTGCAACTATTGCGGAGTTTTCTAATACATTAATGGAGCCATATTCCAGAAAAACTACAACAATCACCCATACCACAGTAGCTACAACGAAACAAGCAGCAAAACTAACAACATTACAAATTCATGTTTCAGTTTCACAAAACCGCAGAGCAAAAATAATAGTAGGTAAAATGTGGAATGATGTGGAGGAAGAAAAAAATATTTCTCTGTCACCAGCTTATGTGATAATATTTCCTTATTAATCTGTTCCAAAAAGACATATTTCTATAACTGGAACCAATTACTTTGAACTTCTCATTTAACCTTAATGAGAAGCTATTATATAGCCACACAAATGTTTTGGCATGTTTTAAGGCGACAAATGTCAATCCATAGACAATTACCATCTTGAGTAAGCTTTCTAATTGAATTGTTTAACCAATTTTCCTAAGTAAACTACTGACAAAAAAAATTAAGGTATACAAATGCAACTCCGTGGGAAGATTCTGGACGCAAATACATTTATGCAAAAAGGGCGGGGCAAAGAGAAAAATGTGAAATTAAGGATTACCACGTCGACGTTCATGAGGAGGTGTTTATTCTCAGAAGGAGGATTGGTAACAGAAGCGAGCTCGGGTTGGAGGGCATTGAGCTTGTCCTGAGAACGAGCGCAGCCGATGACACAGTGGCCTCTCTTCGCCATTTCTAGGGCTAGGGCTTTGCCTAATCCTCGGCTCACGCCTGTAATTAACACCGTCCGAATCTCTCCTCCGGCTAATCGCATACTGGAAATTCCTGCCGTCGTCGGCATTGGCGGTAGTGTCATGTCTTCTGATAGGAAAGCGGCAGAATTGAAGTTACTTCCCTTTCCCTGCTTATATCCAGTTGCAAAAATAATACTTGGATAGAATTATTTTAAAATAAATTATCTCAAATTAAAAATTATATCGGGTCTATCACAGAGAAAAATAATAATCCTCGAATAAAGCATAGACAATTTCAGAATCAATACAATATATCTAATCGTCAAAAGATAATATTATAATAGCTAATATCAACATAATTAATCTCAATTCCAACATAATTTATCTTCGAACTAAACGACCCCAAATCGGATTCCAGCTCTCTTCTTTTTTGTTTTAACTTTCAACCTCTAGAATGCCAGCACTTTACTCTTTGGGGGTCATTTGATTACAAAAATTAAAGGCATACAACTATTTTGGGTTCGATTAAATTTTTTATTTCAATATAGCCATATTACAATTGTAGTATAATATTTTATATGAAATAATAATTATGTATTATTAATCTTGAGATAAATATCAAAATAACATATTTACCAATTACCCTTTTCAAATTTCTTTCCCCGAAATCTTTTAATAAAATTAAGGTTAATATTAAAACTTAAAATTCTATCCAAGTTTATATAATATTAAACCAAATGTACATTATTTATATTTATAGCTCATGTATTCTTCTATTCCAACAAATTAAATATCTATCAATAAAAGTATATTTACTAAATAAATTTGTTATTATTTAATCTCGTTTTATGATCCGGACATTATAATGGAACTGTTACTTAACAAACCGAACCTACTTTATTTCTAGCTTGTTTGGGTAAAGTTTTGAAAGATCAAAAGTACTTTTAAAAAAAAATAGTTATTTTAAAGAATTATTATTATATTGGCCGGGTTTTTAGCGAAGGAATAGGCATCTATTTATCTATATCTATATTCTATATAGAATTCTATATAGAATAAGAGAAGCAAAAGCACTACATTAAGACAAGTGTCTTAACCACAAAAGGCCAAGTGGCATTGTTAATACAAAATAAACTACTTTTGTAACTAAATTTTTTTAAAATTTTAAATTTTGAATTAATTGGTTACACTACTTGAATTAATAAATATAGATATTTTATAATTATCAATAAAAAATGAAAATACAAAAAAAAAATATTCTACTCATTCAAATTGGAGTTTTAAAATTATTTTATAATAAATAAAAAATAACAAAAAATAAAAAACTACCAATTCAAATTAGAAAATAATTTTTTCCTAATATAGTAGTAGTATTGTATGTGTGTGTTTACATATGGGAGTAGTTATTATACTAAATCGGTAATTTATTAATAATTCATATGTCAATTTAACAATATTAAGTAGTGGATAATACAATTAGATAAAAAAACAAATAATTTATAATACAATTAGACTTATAAAAATAATTAGGATTATTATGAGAAAAAGCGTACATATACACATAACTAAAATCATAATAAACAAATAGTCATAAATGAAGAATATTAAATAAATAAATCAAATGATATCTTAAAAATACATATACTGATTAAATTTCTCGTATAGGAAAATTTAGTGAATAAATAGAACTCATAATTTCATAATGAAAAATACAAAAATATAAAGAAACTATTAGGATATTATACATAAGATAATATATTATATATAAAACATATATTATTAATTATTAAAAATATTAGTTTATAAAAATAATAAAAGGCTTATCTCTTTATAATTTTGATGAATTCAAAATTATAATTTAGTAAAAAAAATGATATTATTTAAATTTTCAGTAAATATAAAATGAGAACTAATCAAATATTATAGTAGAAATGAATGTACGAAAAGAGGTGGATTAATTTTATAATAATTAATAAATAAAGTATAAATAAATAACACTCAAGAAAATGATTAATAAATTCACACAATTGAAGAATTTTAAACAATATAACATAAATATAAAATATATATATATTCAGAATAAGAAAATATATGCGTATGTTCTACTAGAAGAGAAGTGGTATCAAAATATTAAGATAACTGACAAATTAATAAATAAAAATTAGTAAATATATAGTACTAAGTACTTGCTAATTTAATAAAGAATAAATAAGGAATAAATAATTTATTTGATTACTATAATGCTTTGTATCTTTTGATGATAAATTTTATTATACTTAAGTATACTACATTAAATAATAAATAGTAACTATTATTTATTAACATAATATAATATATTAGATCATAATTTTATAAAATTAATATTCCGTCAAATTATGCGCGTATCACGTGGGGTTCAAACACTAGTTTTGAAGTAATAGTCGAAAATGGTTTTCAACTTTTAGACAAAAGCAAACAAAGTTTTATTTTATTTTTTGACCTATTATAATGTTCAAACACATTTTGTTATTTTCTCTTTGACATCACTGTAATGAGAGTGCCAGTAGTATGTATTGTATTATATTGTATTGTATCGTATCGTCTTGATGTATACAGTGTTTAGATAGATTGTATTGTTATTCGTCGTTTCATGATATTATGCACCAACAATATGAAGAATAAACTTGCAATATTATAAAGAAAAAAAGTAAGATAAGAGGTAATATTATTATATAAAAAGGTAGGATAAAGGATAAAATAGGATTTTTTTTAATAATCAAAAAAGGCAAGGTGAGAGAAAAAAAACAAGAAAATGACGCGACCACGCCAAATCGGTCGTTTCATAAAGTGGTACTTTCGTCGTTACGTAACGACGGATTTAACGATACAATACAATAAAATTTAAGTAACAATTAAAACAAACATTGTATTTAAAGTAATAATACAATATAATACAACAGGTAACAACCATCCAAACAAGCTGTAAAGAGTTAGAGTGGTTAGAGTAAATAAAAAATTACAAATCACTACATTCAGACTCGTTTTTTATTTACATATTAAAATTTTATCTTATGAAATATAATATTGATTTATTAATAAATATATTTGATTAACAAATTTTTGGGAGTTATCTTGCTAATTGATAAATAGGTGACAATTTAAATGTATATAATTTTTCATAATTTGACAACATAAAAATTACTCTTTGAAAGAATTAGCCAAATACAAGTTACTAATGAAATAACTTCTCGTATGTGCAGCACCCCGGAAATTTTTCAAATGTTAAAAGTCTCATTAGAAGGTCATTACGAGCTAAACCTTTCAATTGCATGCTAACAACGACAAAACCTATGAATAAAATCCATTTGATATGTTAACATATGTTAGGACATGGTTTGAAGGGTTATAAGGACATTTAGAAGTGGGGTAAAGTAGTTTGGAACTATTTGAAATTGTTACAAGAATGGAGGCGCCCAAGGTCGCACATGACCTAACTTCAAACGACCATGTGTATAATGAGTTACACTGGGTTCAACCTGTAAAATTAAAGATATTCAACAAACATCTCGAAGGGTTCAAATAGCTGGCACTAGGCCCAAATATGACATTCAACCCAAATAATGATGATAGCAATTAGTTTTCAGTCAAATACACGATAAAATCATCAATCGGGACGGATCAAGTCACAATCCCTAATAGTACACGACCTCATGCTCGTCATCAAGTGTGTGTCTCACCTTAATATAGCACTACGATGTGCAATCCGGAGTTTCAAATCCTCAGAACATCATTTACAATCAGTACTCACCTTGAACCGGCTAAATCTCTAGCTCGCGACGCCTTTGCCCCTCGAATCAGCCTCCACGCGCGTCGAATCTATCCAAAATCTGAACGAATACGTCATAATATGCTCAGGGAACAAAGCCCAAGCGAAAACAATCGAAAAATACCAAAAATTCCGAAATTAGCAAAGCCTGAGCCCCGGGCCCACTTCTCGAAACTCAGAAATTTTCACATCAACGGGTTCCTTATCCTTCCACGAGTTCGTACATATCAAAAGTTCCCAAATCCGACATCAAATGGTCCTTCAAATCCCAATTCAAAAGTTCAAAAATCTCAAGCCCTAGTTTCTTCCATTTTTAGCTTAAGTTCCAAGAATTTCTAGGTTGATTTCACAATAGAATCACGTTTTAGGATTCAAAAATCTTACCTCCAATCAATTCTCCTTGAATCCTTCTTTAATCACCTTCAAAAAGCTCTCAAGATGCTCAGTTATGGAGGAAAATGACTCAAAATCGCGAATGAAATAACTTAAAAGCTTTCTGCCCAGTTCTGACCTCTCTTCATCGCGATCGCGGCCCAAGCAACGCAATCGCGAAGAGCAAAATTCCAAGGCTCCAAAAACACGCTACGCGAACGCGACATATGCACTGCGAACGCGATACTTCCACTATCCATATTATGCGAATGCGAGACCAATAATGCGAACGAGAAGAGCAAATTCCACTGGATCCCAAATCCTTATACGCGAATGCGGAACACTTCATGCGAACGCGAAGCATAGGATCTACGCCCTCCGCGAACGCGAGACCTCAAATGAGAACGCGAAGGCTAAACTCAGGCCAACCCAAAATCCTTCTACACGAACGCGAGACCTCAAACGCGATCGCGAAGGCTTAAATGTATGCAACACCAGAACTGAAAATCTGCAATCTCTCAAAATAAAAAATGGTCCGATTGACCACCCGAAACTCACCTGAGGCCCTCGGGACCTCAACCAAAAGCACCAACACATTCTAAAACCTTATTCAAACTTGTTCCAATCATCAAAATACCTCAAACAACATCAAATCTACCAAATCACATCGGATTCAAGCCTAAGTTTCTAAAATCTTCCGAAATACGCTTTCGATCAAAAATCCAACCAAACCACATCCGAATGACCTAGATTTTGCACACATATCCCAAATGACTCAACGAAACTACTACAACTCTCGGAATTTCATTCCGACCTCTATATCAAAATCTCACCTATCAACCGGAAAACGCCGAAATCTAAATTTCGCCAATTCAAGTCTAATCCTTCCACGGACTTCCAAAATGCATTCCGCTTATAAGTCCCAAATCACCTAACGGAGCTAGCCAACTCATAAAAAACCCAATCCGAGATCATATACAAACAAGTCAAACCTTGATCAAACCTTTCAAATTTTAAGCTACAAATTGAGAACTATTCTTCCAAATTCGTTTCGATTCCCCTGAAAACCAAAACCAATGATTTACATAAGTCATAATACATCACACAGGACAAATCATGCCCGAGAACTAGCGATCAAGTGCAAAGCTCACAACAACCGGTCGGGTCGTTATATCCACCCCCCCTTAGACATACGTTCGTCCTCGAACGTGCCCAAAGTTGTTCTAAAAGCCAACCAATT